GGGGTGATCCACGCCTACACCAGCCTTGCACCGAAGCAAACCAAAGATTCGTGATGTGAGCCCAGGGAAAACTGAAAATGCAAAGCAGCATCCCTTCTCCCCCAGCGTCATGGGGAAACCTGCCACCGCAAACAAGGGCAGCCCCTGGCAGGCGACAGCTCTCCAAGACAAATGGGACCGTGCAGCTGAAGAAGTCGAGAGTCACTTCATTTAAAGTTAATGACATCTACTCAGATGGATCACTTAGCAAGGAGGATGGGCTCCCTGGGGCCAGCTGTGGAAGGAGCAGAGCATGCTCAGGGCCTTTAGGAAGGCGGCTGCTGGCCTTCAAGGTGACCTCACTGACAGAGGAAGGTGCTCCCTCCCTCCCCCCTCAGTCCCTCCAGGGACCAGGGCCTTCTCACTCATGCACAGGTCACTGCTGACACCATGGGGCAGCTGGCCAATGCCACCGGCACCCAAGGCTGGCAGGGAGCACGCAGAGGAAAGAGGCATCGCAGCCCTGGCCTGCAGACACCTGGCTCCTCCTTACAGGTCTGATGAGGGAAAAGGGTCGGGAAAACCAGCATGGGTCACGGAGCTGGGTGGTGCACCCAGGGGGCGAGGGGCATGAGAGGACACGAAGGCACTCGGGTGTCCATCACCGTGTTCTCAGCGAGAGCCACGTGGGACTGAGCTTCAGGGCACAATCGTTCATCACCTATGCAAGGCGCAGTGGGGGATACAAAGGTAAGGATGACCCACCTTCAGTCACACTGAGTTGGGGCCCAAATGAAGGGAGTGCAGCAAAGGGCAGGAGAATGTGCCAGGAGGAGGTTGCTCCCATGGGAGCACGTGCACGCTGAAGGCTGCAGAGAGGAGAGGGCATTCTCACTGAGCCTTGACCGACCTCAGCCTCAGACTGCTTAGGAGGGGGATTCAGGCCCTCTGAATGCTGGGAGAAGACCCAGGCCATGTCTGGGGGGAGCTACTTCTGGAGGTGGTCCAGGGGACAGAGCGTGGGGTGGGAGGCAGGAAGACCCGAGTTCAAATCTGCCTCAGACCCTTTCTAGCTGTGAGACTGTGAGCAAGCCACTTCACCTCTGCTTGCCTTGTTTCCTTATCTGAAAAATGGGGACAGTAAAGCCTCTGCCATGCAGGGTCATTGTGAGGATCCCAACAAGCTAGTGTTTGCAAAGCGCTCTTGAAGTGTGAGCTCTCAGTGTGGTCAGTATCGTGCCCCATCAGAGCCCCCTCCTACATGGCAAGGACGATGCTGCCTCCCCAGCCCTCAGCTCAACACCCTGAACACAGGGAGGGCTCAGGGGATGCCAGGACAGACGGAGAGATGAGGGTGTGTGTGAAGGAGAGCAGGGATGAGACAGTGACACCCCTCTCAAAGGACGCCCACCCAGCGGGCTCCGGGCTCTAGCAGCACCAAGGCTCCTGGGGTGGGAGGAACAGCCCTGGGGCATGGACTTCGGGCCCCTAGACCATCCTTCTTTGCAAACTGCTCCCGCTTGGTCTCTCTATACCTGGGGCCCGGGCAGTGGAGAGAAGCGGCCAGAGCAGGCGAACAGCCCCAGCAGCAGGTACCCCCTGGGCTCCTGAAGAAAGGGGGCGCCTGAGAGCAATGAATGGAGGAAGGAGAGAAGCCCACGATGAAGCAACTGTCACCACAGCAAAGCTCTCCCCTCGTTTGGCCCCAAACATTGGCCCTACAGACTCCATCATCTCTGGGGTGTGGCCCGAGGGGCCCAGCATGACTCTGTGAGAAGCCAGCTGTTCTTTTCAAAGGCAGCAAAGTTTGAACCGAGTCAACCAAATCTGCCGTGATAAGTACTGTGTGTGTGTGTACGTATATATACATGTATATGTTTTCCAAAAACCTGCAACTTTTAAGAAATTGAAATAACTCATAGTTATGATAATTTGACAATTTTTTAAACTTGAAATTTTCAATAATTAAATTTAACTTGTCTTAAGTGTGTGTTGTCTCTAGCTTTCAAAAAGTGAAATAACACCCCTCTGTGATAAATGTGTAATGGGTTTGAAGAGAAATCCAGCAGAACAACTGAAACCAAGACAACCGAGGCAGCGGAAGTACCAAGGAGAACGTAAAAAGCCCGGCATGGGCAGTGCCATGCACCAGATTCAGGATGTCAGGACTCCCCAGGACACATCCTATATAGATACAACACTGCTGTCAGTGACGGAGAGGACACACCACCAGGTTGGCTTTCATTTCAGAGCAGAGAGCACGAAACCTAACAAATAATAACAGCTTCCTGAGAGTGAACACACAGAGCAGCTGGCAAGACGAGGGGCTCTTAACAAGCAAACAAGAAATGGCTCCAGGAATGATGTCAAGGACTACTCCCCTCGCTTCAGCTGGCTACAAAGTTGCTGACCATGAAACTCCTCACTTTAGAGGAACAGCCCCGGGTGACTCATGGGCAAAGCAACTTCCAGTGCCACCCCCCCCAGCAGAGAAGCCAGGAGGAGGACCGGCCAGACGCTGGACAACCTCGTAATCCACCGACTCAGAAGTCCAGGGCCCCCTCACTGGCGCGTTGCACACGGACGGAGCCACAGAAGTGGTTAAAGGTGCCCGCTGCATTAACTGTGCGCGATCTACTGCTGAAGCCGATGTTTAGCGGATTTCTTACTTTGCAATCCTATTCTGGCAATGCCACATGAAGAGTGTCTTGACCTAACCAGTACATTCTGTGAAGGAGCATCACGTAGTGCGGGAGAATCATGTCAGAAAATGAATCGGCAGCCCTCAGTTGCGGTTAGGACAAAGGCTGGGCGAGAAGCCCTCATTACAATAGTGGCCCCCGGTGTGGCATGTGCCAACCAGGTACCTCCCCAAAGCTGGCAGAGGGGCTACAGTCCCCCTTTCACGCTGCTCCAAGAGTAACTGGCTTTGTTAAAAATAGTCCACTAAAATGATCCAACCACTCTGGAGAGCAATTTAGAATTATGCCCAAAGGGCTATAAAATGTGCTTTGACCCAGCCATAGCACTGCTAGGGCTATCTCCCAAAGACATCACACAAATGGGAAAAGGACCCACATGTACAAAAATATTTACAGCAGCTCTTTGTGTGGTGGCCAAGAATTGGAAATGGAGGGGATGCCCATCCACTGGGGAATGGCTGAACAAGGTGTGGTATATGAATGTAATGGAATGCTATTGTGCTATAAGAAATGATGAGCAGGCCGACTTCAGAAAGACCTGGAAAGACTTGTATGGACTGATGCTGAGTGAAGTGAGCAGAACCAAGAGGACTTTGTACACAATAACAGCCATGTTGTGCGATGACTGACTTTGATAGACTTAGCCTTTCTCAGCAATACAAGGATCTAAGACATCTTGAAGGCCTCATGATGGAAAATGCTATCCACATCCAGAGAAAGAACTATAGAGTTTGAATGCAGATCAAAGCAGACTATTTGCTCTTTTTTTCTTCTGTTTTGTTTCCTCTTGTGGTTCCACCTATTGGTTCTAATTCTTCCTTATAACATGACCAATGTGAAAACATGTTTAATAGGAATGTATATATATATATAGCCTATATCAGATTGCATGCTGTCTTGGGGAAGGAGGGGGAAAGAGGGAAGGGGAGAAAAATTTAAAACTCAAAAGCTTATGGAAGTGATTGTTGATAAATCAAAGTAAATTAATCAAAAAAAAAGAGAAAGGAAAAAATAGTCCACTAGAAGTCAGGCTCATCACCATTATGATTTGAAACAGTGCTATAAATGCATGCTAAAGCAATAAGACAAGAAAAAGAAACTGAGGAAATAAACAGACACAAGGAGGAAACCAACTGGTCATTTTCGCAGACAATCGAAGTTTGTTTAGAGAATCCTAGAATCTACTAAAAAATTCATTCAAACAATCAGTAACTTATATCAGCCCACATCCCCATCAACATTTCTGTATGTTATCAACAAAATCCAGCCAGAGTACCTGTCAAGACACACAATACAAAACACAAATACAAAACAATCTTTACAGATACCTAATGAACTGGAGAAATAGTAATTACTCATGGCTAGGCTGAGCCAACAGGATAAAAAGAACACTACCTAAATTAATTTATTCATTCAGTGCCAAACCAATTAAACTGCCAGAGTAGTATTTTATAGAGCTAGAAAAAACAATACAATTTGTATGGCGGGAACAAAAGGTGAAGCTCCTTATGGGAGATCACGGCACCAAAATTTGGGGCAAAAGGGGGCGTGGCAGCAGCGGTGCGCTAGCCAACCAGGATTTAACAATCCTCTCTCTAAAAGACCAAAGTCGGCACAGCCCTTCCCGCTCTGCCTCAAGTTCAGATAATCAACGACACAGGAAGCCACCCTCAGATTTCCCAGGACTTGACAGGGGGCTCCGCCAGAGCCCAGCTGGCATCACAGCCCGCAGGTGCTTATTCACAAGTGCAGGGCGGCTGACCAGGCACCGACAGACAGAAGCGAGTGTGCACGGAAGCCTGCTAGGGGATGAACCCCAGGCTACAGAATCCATGCAGGGAGAACCAGAGGGCATCCTGGAAGAAACCAGGCCTCAGCACCAGCTCCCTGTGGGCATCTGAAGCCGCCTTGCCTCTCACAACGAAAGCCTGACTGGACGACTACCCCGGGCTCGGCAGATGCGGCCCCTTCATCTGGGCTGCCCTGCCCACCTCCGCCCTTCCGGGAGCCCTTCCACCATCCACGGGAGCCTCTGGCTCGGGCCACGGCACTACTCTCTTGGCCCCCTGCCTGCCCTCACCGCTTGGGGCAGAGCTGTCATTCCCATGGGCTCCAGGTTCAGCACACACTGGCTCTTGGCAAGCCCCGCCTGAATGCCCATGGCCCCTGTAATTTGCCTCTTGGCAGGGCTTGGCTTCCTTTTCTGGACAAACAGTAGCAGCCCCACGAGAGCTGGGTGGCAGCTGCCGGGCCCTGTCTGAGCAGGCAGGAAGGGGCAAGAGGACTCCTCACATATGGAGGGTTCTAGAACGGCCTCACCTGTCTCCGAGGATTGGTTCCCTTGAGTCTGAGGTGGCTGAGAAATCCATGCCGTAGAAATTGAGACCCAGCAGAATCTTGTCCCGTGACTTGGAGTCTGGATCGAGGATCTCGATGCAATCTCGAACCCAGGACAAGGGTGCATTTGGGCCAGGCCTAAAGCGAGAGCGGAGGAAGAACAAACAGGCCTTTACAACCTGGAAGCGCACACTTTCGGTGACATTTCAAGAGCTGCCACGTCACTGTTGTCTTCTGCTGACACCTTTCCCCCCAAAACTGGCCGTCACAGCCTGTAGGACCTAGGACCCGGATACCAGGGAGGCTACATGGTGGCCCGCCTTTCTCCCTTTCCCCTCTCCTAGCCAGCTCAGGCAGGGCCTCACTCCTCTGTCCTTGAGCACCAAGGCAGGAAATGGCAGGCAGCCCTCCTCCCCACTTGCCCACCTGAGGCTGACGAGCTCTGCTCTAACAAGAGGAGGGGGAGAAGGGCTGAGAGGCACCAGAGTGCCCGCTCTGCTGGGAGCGTGAAGAAAAGGCACACTATTCTGACCCCAGGGCCAGACTTGGAGTGAGGATCACAACAACCCTCCTGGAAGAGCCTTGGGGCCATCCCACTTACTGAACCCAGAAATCATCTGCCCCACCTGAAGCTGGGCAAGCGGCCAGAACCCCATCGCCAGTCTTGGGGAGCCAGCTGCAGGTGGGCTTCCTGACAGCCTCAGGGCCCCAAACACCAGCAGCGGCCCTGACAAACCAGGCAGACATGGGGCGCTTTCAAGCAGCATCTCTCATGTCAAGGAGGTCATGTCAACGTGGCGCAGGCCCGGGGTAGGCGACCCTCTGCAGCTTGCCATGTGTGAGGAGAGGGGATGGAAGTATGAAAGCTTGTAGCGTCCCCTTCTGTCCAGGCCTCACCTCCTGGATGTGGCAGGCACACAACTGGTGCCAAAGGTGGGAGAAGGGGCAGGGATCTGGGCTGGTCGCTGAGCCCCCGCCTCACCTGGGGCGACCCCCAGAGGGACTCAGAGGGGCTGCTGCTGCCCGCCTCTACTCACGCTTCAGCAGCAGAATAGTCGTAGGTGATCAGGCTGAAGCCGTCGATCATGGGGCCCAGGTGGTCGAATGCCTTTTTAGTAAACATCCCCAGATGATCCTTCCTGCAAAGACAGCCAGGGTAGAGACATCACAGGAGAGCTACTCCATGGCCCAGAGCCCTCCAGGAATGGGCTGGCCACCCCTTGGAGCCAGCAGCTGCCCCGTGTGCCCTAGACTAAGGGAGCTGCTAGATATCGCGAAAGGCCTTCCTGAGGCCAGCTCTCTGTCTACTCCCAAGACCCCTGTAGCCTCCTTAGATCTTAGCAGGGAGCCCCCCTGGCAAAATGGGCAAGCGAGGGAGACTGCCTCTCCTCTGCAGGACCCCTCCCTTTCCCTTCAAGTCCCAGGGTGGGTGGGGACACCCCAAGTTCCTGCTGCTGCCATCAGAGGCCCTTCCCCTCCCAGGGGCTGGCTGACCTCCACAAGGACCCCACCAGATGTGCACCAGGCCCCCTCTCCAGGCTTAGGGTTAATTCCCTCGTTAAATGTCTTGATACTTAGACATTATAATTTCTCACATGGTAAATACTGATATCTATAATCCACATAAACAGGAGCTCTTTTGGGGGGTCCTCAATAATCATTCTGAGGAGCACAAAAGGGTCTCGAGACCAGTTTGAGAGTCAAAGGAAGACAGCTGTCGGGTTTGCTTTCCATCAGCCTCCCTGGGCCCGAGAGAGAGGCATGCTGGGAGAGGGGAGCCCTCTCCCTGCCTCGGCCGGGGTCTGCTTGAAAACAGTCTGCTTTTCCTCTCAGACATGAGTGACCACAAATAGCTCAGCAGATGGAGATGACCCCCAAGTGCAATCTCCAAAAGAGATCACGGCCTTCCAGAAGCCTCAGCTGCACCCCTGGGGTAGGGAGGGCGCGGTGCCCTCTCTGGGACAGGGCAGAAGGGCAGGAGTGGAGGAGGCAGCGTGCCCTACAGGGAGGGCGTGGCACCCAGCAACACCTAAGAGGTCAGGCAGAGGGGCTGTGCCAGGCACCCCCCCCCCCCCCGGCACCCTCCAATCCCTGCTCTGGCTGGTGCTGGCCGCCCAGCTCTGAGCCACACCTAGCATAGCAGGGCCCCACAGCCAGACCTCACCCAGCTCTGGAAAACCCCATCTGCTGCAAATTGATTTTGATTGCTCAAGAGGGAACCGGAGCACAAGCAGTTACGGGCAGCATTAGATTCTGCCGCACTTCCTTTCCTTTCTAGATTAATCTGGCTCCCCATGGGGGGTCTGGGGGGAGGGAGCCAGGAGCCTCCACCCAGGCCTGGGATCCGAATGCACCCTCGAAGCCCACCTCTGATCCCATGGGCGTGACTGTAGGGAGCTCCCTTAATCTCTCTGGGATTCAGTTTCCTCCCATGAAATGGGGATAATAATCCCTAGAGCTCCTGGCAGGGAGAGGCCAGGAAGATAAAATGGGACAATGAAGTCAAGTCCCAGGAATGTGGAGAGCGGGTGAGGGGCCTGGCTGGGGGCAGAGGGGCAGGGAGCCTGGCACGGGTAGGATGCAACCTGGGGCCCTGTAAGGCAGGACAGCTGAGAGAAGCTTTGAGAGGGCATCAGTAGGGAGGGTGTCAGGGGTGCTTGAGTCTGCCCCCCATCACTAAAAGCACTCCATCCCAACTGCATACCACAACTTGTCCGGCCATCCCCTTGATTTCCAGCTCTCTACCATCACACAAAGAGCTCTACAAGTATTTATGAACCTCTAATAACTAACATTTATGTGACACCTACCACGTACCAGGAACTGTGCTAAGCACTTTGCAATTAGCTTCTCATCTATTCCTCACAATGACCCTGGAAGGGAGGGAAGCTCTATTAGAGACCTGGGGAAACTGAGGCAGACAGAGGGGAAATGACTTGCCCAGGGTCACACAGCTAGTAAGTGTTTGAGGCTGGATTTGAGTCTTCCTGACTGCATTTCTTTTCTTTTCTTTTTTAAAATTTTTAAAAAAAATTTATTTTGATTTATCAACAGTCACTTCCATAAACTTTTGAGTTTTAAATTTTTCTCCCTCTCCTTTCCCCCCTCTCTCCCCAAGACAACGTGCAACCTGATATAGGCTCTACATATACACTCCTATTAAACATATTTTCACATCGGTGACGTTGTAAGGAAGAATTAGAACCAATAGAAAGAACCACCAGAAAGAGGAAACAAAACACAACAGAAGGAAAAAATAGATCTGCATTCAAACTCCATGGTTCTTTCTCTGGATGTGGACAGCATTTTCCATCATGAGGCCTTCGGAGATGTCTTAGATCCTTGTATTGCTGAGAAGGGCTGAGTCTATGAACGTTGGTCATCGCACAACATTGCTGTTACTGTGTACAACGTCCTCCTGGTTCTGCTCACTTCACTCTGCATCAGTCCGTACAAGCCTTTCCAGGTTTTTCTGAAGCTTGCCACTGCATTTATTTTCAATAGAATTTCCCTTTCTATGTCTTCTTGCTGAATTTTGCTGGTAACATACAGAAATGCTGATGATCAGTGTGTTTATTTTATTGTAGTCTTGACCAGTTTTTCAGCTGATTCTCTAGGGTTCTCTAAGATCCCATGACCCACACTTACGCTGGCAGTTTTGTTTCTTCATCCCTTCCATCTCTTTTTCTCATCTTGCTGCCCTAGCGCACGTTTCCAATACGATACTGAAGAGTACTGGCAACAACAGGTGCCTCTGCTTCTCTCCTGGTCTCCCTGGACGGGCTTCTCAAGCTATGGATTCTAAGAATCCTAAATAAGAAAGAACTCAATTCCTGGCATAAGGGACAGCTATCCGAAGACATGGAAGCTGGCGCTGGGATGCTGAGCGCGGAGAAAGTGAGCGCACCCATGTGGCCGGAACAGCGAGCTAAAGAAGGAGGCTGGGGCTCAGGTGTGAAGGGCTTCCGCTGCCCTGCTAAGGACTTTGTTTTCGGGTCCTCCATATAACAGTGAGCTGGAGCGATGTGGTCAGGCCAGCTCTGGGGATAGATGGAGGAGGGAAAAACCCGGAGCTTGTAGTCCAACTGCAATCATCAGGCTGGAGAGAGGTGACAAGGGGCCAGACTGAGCACGGCGAAGGGGGTAGATGTGAAAAATGGTGGGAGGGGAGAATGGACCAGACGGGGTGAAGGGCTGAAAGGACGATGTTACGCTCAACAGAAACAGGGAAATCTGCAGGAAGGATGGGTTTTCTTTTAGAAAAGATGATGAGCCCCCTTTTGGACCTGGTGAGCTGGAGACATCAATGGGATATCCAATTGGAGCTTACAAGCAATTCAAGAGAGAAAATGGGGCTGATCCAAGACTCATCTGCAAAGAGATGATAAATGAGCAAGTGGCAGGCCCAGGACAGGAGACACATCAGCAGAGGTGGCACATAGAGGAGAATCCGGCCAAGGAGCCTGAAGAGGGGCAGCTAGATGGGTAGAGGGAAAACCAGAAGAGCCCAGAAAGCAGACACCAATCCAGGAGAAGGGGTGTGTGGGAGGGGAGCTGGAGGGTGGAGAATCGGCCCTTGGGCCATGCAATCAGGACATCACTGATAATCCTGAGCAGAGTGCTAAACCAGGGCCAGACTCCAGGGGCTTGAGAAATGAAGGAGAGGATGGCTGGGGAAATGGAGGTGATGTGTGTGTGTGTCTCTTTCTAGAAGTATGTCTGTGCAAAGTAAGGGGGCTTGAGAAGAAGGTGGCCCAGAGGGCAGTTTGAAGGACGGGGGAAACCTGGATTTGTCACAGTAGAGAGGAAGTAACTGAAGACCAGACATAGCGGTGTCTCAAGGGTGAAACCACGGGTGCTGGTCTCAGCAAGGAGAAGAAGGGACTTTCCTCCTCAGAGATAAGCCCAAAACTGGAGAAAATGGGGGGCTATCTCATTAGGCCGAGGCAAGCTCACAACAAATTGCTTCTCTTTCTCGGTAAAGGAGGAGGCAAGGTCTTCTACTGGGAGTAAAAGGCATAGAAGTGAGGAAGGCTTAAGCCACAGGGGAGACAAGAGCTGGAGGCTGCGAGGGGACGGACAATGGGCCGGCTAATCCTGGGCTGATGGCCTTTTGTTAATTTTGGGAGAAACGGCTCCTTTCCGAGTTCATGCAGCAGGTCCCAATACAGAAATCATAGGAGTGTGAAAAACCAAGGCTTTCAGTCTGAGACCAGATGTCAGACAAAACCAAATCAATCAAAGACTTAGGCGTCTGACAACTCTTCTAGACAAAACTCTGTCAGAGCAGCAGAGAGGCGATCCTTGTACCTGAGGTGATCTGGGATATTCCTCCCAGGCCCATAAATGTTCAAGAGAAAACAGATTCATGGCCCCAGGCTTCCTTCAACAACAAACCAACATTCTGACCTCCTTTAAACAAACCTAGTTCAACAGCCTTTATAAGTAAACCAAGTCAGGACACAGATCAAACTAATCAGAAGGCTCACACATCTGCTGGGGAAGGGCAGACTGACCTGTCACCAAGAGCTTGGGGACATCAAGGGTCCTCATCTGAGGACTGTTCAGCTTGCACATCTCGTGGGACAAGCTTGGGTCAAGCAAAGTTACTACTAACGGCTAACCAAACATTCAGAAGGAACAGCGTGAACCCCAAATAGTAAAGATTACTAAAAGAAAATATAAAGTGAAACAGTCCCATCTTTCTCTTCTTCTTCCCAACTCCGGCCCTCATACTAGGGCACTTCAACATACATATTCCACATGTTTCTCCTCAGTCCTCTGCAATGTCAACCACCAAGGGGGAATGCCCCCTCCAGAGTTTTGAGTGGCCCTCGTGGTCCTCAGCAGCCCAGGACACTGGGCACCACCTTGTGACCCTGCTCTCTCCTGGTTCCCTGCCTCTGTGCCTGTCTGAAGGCTCCTCCTCAGCTCTTTTCATGACTGGCACTGAATGGCACATGATAGAGGGACTGTGGGAAAGCAGGCGCCTTAACTCATGGCTGGTGGAGCTGCCAGTGGGCCTTGCCAGTTTGGAAAGGCTTTGGGGAGGATGCCCCAAGAGTCACTGAGCTGTGCTGACCCAGGGCCAGGGTGGGCGTTTGCGCCCTAACGGCCAGCTGTCCTTTGTCCAAGCCGG